AGTGCTGGCAGCAGTCAGGGCTGTAGCTGCAGGAGGAAATGGCTAAGAAGAGACTGGTCTCCTCAGAGACATTCCTGCTCCTTTTCTCTGACTTTCTGGCTTTAATGTTTTTAAATTATGAAAGTATAAGGAATGGAGACCTGGGAGCGTTCAGCACAATTGCTCAGGGAGAAGTGAGACGTTCCCTCGACTCTTGTAACAGGGAGCCCTTAGGCAACACAGCAGGATGGGCCTGGGGAACACAGTTGGGCGGTTAGCACTTAAAGAACAAGCGCAGTTCGAAGTGCAGGGACTTATCTAGAGCCTTGTCCAGGCCTTTGCGCAGGGCAGGGAGAGATCAGAGATGTAGCCAGGGATGTACCATGAGAGCCCAGCCAGATTCCCTGCCTGCTTTAAGCCCTACTCATGTTGTAGGGCCTACACCTCCATAAGGTCTCTCAGTTTTCTCTAAAGTGGTAGTTAGAGAAGATAAGAGGAAGTACTTGATACCTCTCATTAATTGTCTCTTGTATACCTGCCCCATTGGAGACATTCTCTCCTCCGCTCTGCTCTGCTCCTCATCCCACACAGCCAGGCTTAACTTCTAGATGTGAGGCCCAGAAGAGGAATTCACTGCTTCAAGCTGGAAGAGGGAGAAGGTTAGGCACCCGCATCCCAGCTACTAAAAGCTGCATCCTGCTGTTCTCACAAGATGATTACAAGATGAGCACAAAATTCCCTCAAAAACACATGGTCTTGCCTTCAGCTGGTGAATAAGTGCAAAGTTACTGAGAAGACTGATAAAATGCATTTGATAATCACAAATGCTAATATTTCTTTTAAATTTTATTTTTATTAGAATGGTTTGAAGTTGATGACTTGATTGTAGACATATGAGGCTGCTTGTATGTTTTTATTGTTTTGTGTTGATTTTCATAATGGGGCCTTCCACCATCCCAAAACATCCAGCCCTGGGTTTGTAGGCAATCCATACACTGGGTATGTTATTTGAAAGACTTTAAAGAAAAGGTGCTTTTCATGGGTTGACTAACATATCTATGTGCTACCAGTAATCTAACAGAAATGCAGATTGCTGTCTTGAAGGAGGAAGGGCTAGACTGTTCAGCTGTCTTTTTAAAATTTTCTTTTTGTGAATCATTTCAGGCTCTGGCTTTTTTTTGTGGGGTGTGGGAGGCTCTGAACAAGAGAATTTTAGGGCAGATAGTCAGAGAAGAACTACCAGTTGTGAATGACACATGAATATAAATGGACATTTTCTTACAATAATTTATCCACAATAATTTGTTCATAATATATAATATAACATATTATAATGAAATTTATTATATAAATAAAATCACCAGTAATGTATTAATATTGTGTTCTTCATTCTCCTTTCTGTCCCATTAAACCCAAGGCAGCATGCATTGGGCGGGGGCTCCCATAGTTGAGTTACTTGGTCTTGCAGCTGGGAAGTGCCAAGGAAGATCTACCATGCAAAACGACTGACTGGTGCTTCAGAGCCTGAGGGCAAGAAGGGGAGAGGGAAGCTCAGTCCAGTCCCTGGCATTTCTCCGGGGACCTTGGAAAGGCCTCCGTATCAAACCCAGCAGAGCCCTGGTAGTCGGCACAGACAGTGCTGAACTAAATGCACCAGCTGTCTGAGGAGGTCTTCAGAGGGAGGGCTGCTAGCTCTGCCAATTAGAAGGTATCATTCCACTATTCCATGGTTTCCTCCTTGATGGATCTGCTGCAGCCCGTCCCCTCCAGAGGAGGTCTTTTCCTGTTTGTATACATTTGGGGGTGGGGGCAGGACCAGTGTCTTCTTGCCCAGTTCTCCTCCAATTGCTGTTTCTCTTTAGTGGTTTTGTGCCCCCCTCCCCATTTTTTTGCCTGTGATGGGGTGTTTGCACGTGGTAGGCTCAAACATGAACATGCAACAGGCATCACATCTTTTCTCTTGCATCTTTTTCTTCTTAATGGAGTTTCTGCTAGGAGAAAAAGGTGGAAGAACTGATGAGAATACGGAGGAGGACTGCAAGCAGAAGAGGGTGATATCCAGATCCTCCTTAAAATTGTCTGAGTGAGGCAGGGTGATGACACCACTAAAGCCCTATCTGCAGACGCGGATTCTCTGCAAGGCAGCTTCCTGTGTCCTGCTCCCAGGTGGGGTCAGAGTGGAAGGGAAATGGTGGGCCTGGGTTCTCTTGGAAATCCCAGTAACTTTTTCCCTACTGGGGTTTCCATTTCTGTCATCAGTTTCACCGAGGACGAAAGAACATTTTTCCTGCGCTACAGTTCAGGGAAGCCAGTAACTTTTACGGAAATTATAGTTGTTTTCCCAGCATGCAAGGAACTATTCATTTTGAGAAAAGTCATATGAATGTGTAATAGGGTTGCATGACTAAAGTGGTCATCCAGCTATTCTAATAGTTCCATTGTGCTTTGTTAAATGAATGCTTTAGACTCTCAGTAGCAAGAAGTTTTATTGGCAGGCTGCTTAGAATGGGGATGAAAGACCAAGTCTCCCCCACCATGGACAGATTTCTCCTTCATTTACTTCCCAGCCATGAAATTTATATATATCCATTCATTTATTTAATGTCTATACCACCCATTAGTTAAGATGACTCTTTTTTTCCTGAGGGAACCTCAAAAACTTCAGTAGTAAGTGATCTGAAAAATTGTGTGTGGGAGTTAATACCTCCTTTCTGCAGCAACATAAGATTCAGGGAAGTGATGAAAAGGTGGAGGGCATCGGGAACTGTCAGTTCAACAGCAGAAGCAAAAGGATCGCACTGCAAAGTGGGTGACAGCGCTACCACCCTCGTTTGCTACACCCAGTTGGCGGCTTACAAGTGCGTGCAAATTAGTCTGTACACGGTCTTGCCTTGTCCTCCCTTTCACAGCTGAAACAGACAGAGAAATTGACTGGGCAGTACTATACCTGTGGAGTACTGACAATTTTTGTATGTGCAATTTTCATGGGCTGTAAAAGTATGACCTCCAACTCTGGTTTTTTGAGGCTCAAAGAACAGCAAAATTGGTAGTGAATATGAAAGGATGGCAGTCAGAGCTGCAAGAGGGAGACAAGGTGGGTTCTGCTATGAAGGGAACTGGGATACCAAGTAGAGGACTGATGGAGAAGGTGAGAGAGAACAATACATGCTGAGCCCAATTGTTGGGCACACCGTGGGTTGTTCAGTGAGCAACCAACCCACCATGGCTTATCGACAAGGTGGTGTACCATGATGTGTGAACCTGTCCGTTGTCTGCCACCTAAAATAAGCTATAAAGACTTCCATCCTACTTCACAGAGTACCGTATTAAAACATATCCCATTTAACCTAATGGGATTTGTACTTGACTAAGGCACATTGCTATTTGTCAAAACTAGTTTGCTGGGTTTCTTGCCTATATCATTATTTTTATATCCTATATCTTATGCCCACTTGCTCTCAGTGGGGCTTATTTCTGAATAGACTTTTTCACTTTTAATTAGTTTCAGCAAATCAAAACAAAAACACAAAAATAAAATACAGCAATTTTACAGTTTTCTTATGTAAGAGTTGAATGGATAAATTACAAAAGATACCTATACAATGTACATGTATGTATGCATGCCCATTTGTATTTTTATTCAGTGAAATAGACTTCACAGAGAAACATAGGATTCAGACCATGTGTTTCTTCATTCATAGATTGTGCTTAAAGGACACATGTTCAAAAACTGAAAGTGCTGGTAAGCCCTCAGTCCATTGCATTTGTCCTGTTAAGTCCATAAGCTGTCAAAAGGGTAAGGAAAATCCACTTACATTAAGTTCCAAGAATATATACATAGAGGGAGAGGGAGAGGGAAGGACATGCACCTTGGCAAATTTTGAAGAGCTGTCCATTACAAATTTATCCATATTATTGCATCCTCTGAAAACATAAGGGTAAGTGTAGCATTAGCTGTAATGCATCTCCAAAGGTTAGGCAGGGTAGGCAAGCCTGTGTTAAAACGATGTTGTTGTGTCCAGTTTACATGGAATGTGACCTTTTGCTGGATTGCATGTAACATAAGACTCATTAATGCTTCTGAGATAGTTACCAACACAGCAATCGACTGAGTGGGCAAAATAGGACAATCCGGTTCACTTTTTCATTTTTGCTTTCGTCTGCATGTACCATATTTTTCACAGGTAATACATATTCATAAAGCTGGAACAAAGGTTGATGTAGCTGGCCACCCCCAGTAGTAATTCTAATGAGGAAGGTGACTCTGAAGCTGCCAAAGTGGCAGGGCCAGAGCTAGATTCTAGCTGATGTTTCAAGGGCATGTATTGCTATTTAGCCTTAACTGGCAAATCGTCTTTGGCATGGGAAGCAGAACATGGCTAAAAGCTGTCCTTGGTACCCAGCAACTGATCCAAACTGATTTTGGGTAGGCATGCATACAATTGCACTGTGTGAATCTCCATAGCTGGGTGTATTACTACAGCCTTATTACATCTGTTCACTTCTGGAGAGAAGGGCTTGCTTTTGTACCAGTGCTGTAGTCCAGCATTTAATGCTGATGTTGCTTTCAATGTAACTGTTTTTCATATGATTGAATAACTTAGAGTGCGAACACGTGGGGAACCCTGTAACCCTCTAAAGGACTGGGGCTAGATTGACCAGAAGCAAGATACTTTCTTATCTGTGCTATAACATATATTACAAACTTGTTTTGCCAGTATTAATTGAAAAATAAATACATGTGAGTCATTGGGATCTGTGTGCATGATTTTAAAAAGGCAGCATTCAGTACTGCATGGATGATGAAAAATTAAAACCCCCGGTAGTTTTCTGCCTTTGGTTATGTGTTTGCATTGTATCCTTTCTCACTCATGGGACTCTTAATTGATTAATTAATAGATTAATTTCTATACCGCCCAATAGCTGAAGCTCTTGCAGGAGGCTCTTCTGTATGAATGTATTCAATATTGTGTAGAAAAGTAGCGCTTGTTTCTGAAATGCCCACCTTCTTCTCTTGACAGAGAATTTCAGCACAGAAGTTGGCCTCTTAGAGCTGATTGGGGATCCTCCACCGGAACAGATAACCAAAGTGTACGGCCCAGACAACAGCCCTGGCTATGTGTTTGGACTGGACGCCAACACGGGACAAGTGGCACGTTACCACCTACCCAGCCCTTTCTACAGAGACTTCTCACTCTTGTTCCATGTGCAGCCCACTAGAGACAAAGCAGGAGTGCTGTTTGCCATCACAGATGCCTCCCAGTCCATCATCTACGTTGGGGTGAAGCTATCCGAGGTAAAAGATGGGAAACAGCAGATCATCTTCTACTACACAGAGCCGGGCTCCCAGAACTCCTATGCTGCTGCCACGTTCGTCGTGCCCTCTCTCGTTGATCGGTGGACTCGCTTTGCCATCAGTGTGGAAGAGGAAGAGGTCATTTTATACATGGACTGTGAGGAGTATGAGCGGGTCCGTTTTGAGCGCTCGCCTGATGAAATGGAGCTGGAAGATGGTTCTGGGCTTTTTGTGGCACAAGCGGGAGGAGCTGATCCTGATAAATACCAGGTAAGCATGGTCTGCCTCAAGGTATCATTTCCAGTAAAATGATTATCATAAATGGACATGTTTTCACAGTGAACAAACAGAAAGGCAGAGGGAACCGAAATACGTTGTTCAGCTTTGTGCAATGCAGAAAATCAAGAAAGTGCCCATGGCCAACTTTCTCTTCAGGCTTTCCCATCCTCTAGTGTGCCATCCACAGATACATTTTTCACTGCTGAGAAGGGAGGCCGGACAAGGAAAAGACAATTCAGAGGTACAGGAATAATGAGTCACTTCTTTCTGTGATTCATGGATTACTGCAACCCAACCAAAGATCTCTTTGTTATTCATCTATTGAGCTTCCCCACTGCGTTTTACATGAGCACCAGTTATTCCAAGATGATAATCCCTCAATTTGAGTATTCTTTACTTTATATGAACAAGGGGCTAGCCAGAGGGGAGAAAAGAGACTTATTTAAAGGGCTCTTAACTTGCAAGTATTGCCTTAGATATAAGCCAAATTCAGCATGTATGATCATGAGCTCATGCATAGAGAAATCTGTGTGGTGTGCAGCCAACACCTGGTAATCCCATTTCCCATCCTTGGCAGCCTCAGTAGTCTCCAGCCAGCCATGTTGCAGAACAGGGTTCCTGGGTGTTTCTCTAGGTCAGCTTGTTAGGAGTCTGTGGTTTTCAATATTTTTTGCCTCTCCCTGTTTTGCTTTGATATGTGTATTTATTAGGTACAGCTATGCTGAGGATTCTGAGTCCGTCCGTCTGTCCGTCTGTCCGTCCGTCCTTCCTTCCTTCCTTTCTTTGAGGAATCAATTGATGTCTATCTGCAAGTGACAGTAGTAGCTTGTTTTCTTTTTCATGTACAGAAAGGGTGGGGTTTTTGGGGGCGGTTGTTGAGAAGCTTTTAAAATGAATCTAAATAATAATTCTACTGTATCGTCCAGAGAGAAAAACTAAGTGGAAGTAATTAACATTTTTCATCAGCAAGTTCATTTCCAGACACTGGCTTAATTTGTCAGTCTGCTGACCCCTGTGATTTATACTGGGCCTCCCCACAGAGATCAAATCCACTGCTGCATTCTTCATCTCTGGGTGGTGGACAGAGGCATGCATTCCCTGGAGCTGATGTCTGCAGACAGAGCATGGGGGTATTTCTACCCAAGTCTTGTTAAGAAGAGATTTTGAACTGTGATAGTTGATTTTGTTGCCTTTCAGTGCAGACCTCCTTGGGGAAGATTTCCTAATCCACTCAGCAACAAATGCAGATCTTTATCTGTGATGTGTACCACAGATCATTCATTTAGGATGCTGCTACTGAAAATATATACAAGGAGGAGGAAATGTTAAATGCTAGTAGTAGATGACCGAACAAGTACTATAACAGTTAGTTCAAATTAGTGTAGACTCTGAAAAGAGCACAAGGGTAACAGATGCCCTCAAGTATGGTTTTGAAATTTTAAGACAGTTCGATTCGAAGAACAAAATTGAGAGAAACTTTATTTTGCAATGTCTGCAGAACAGGCTGAGAGAGTACCTTTTACTGAATGGCAGCCATTCCACCCATGTGCACTGAATGGGATTCCAGACAGGGAAGCATTCCACATAATAACAAGTATAAAAGTTGTTTTGAATTTGGGTCAAGAAGAGGATTAGAGTAATTGATGTAACCGAATCCACATGGAAAATATAACAGCTGGGTTGAAACTCCCTTTAAGTATGCACAGGTCTTCATACATAGGTTTTCAGAAATGATGAAGATTCACTTTGCTGTGGGGTTGTGCCGCGGGATCTTTTGAGGAATTTGCCTGAAGATGTTACTTGTAATGCTCTGAATCTGGTGTAAATCAAAAGTGCTCAGAATGTGCCATTCCCCCCCCCCCTTCTCCCACCCTCACCTCCAGCCTCTGCCATATTTGCAGGGGCCACATTTGAAAGATGCCATTCTTGAATCTTAGGGACTCCATTCCAGCTATGTGCTCTCCAGGCATGCTTGGCCTGGCACTGGACTACCCATAACAGCTTTGTCCTTGTGGGAACATAAGAAATGCTTTTGTATCCATGTGCTACTTGTGGGCCACTGAGTGAACAGCATGGTGAACAAGACGGATCTCCAATCCGACTCAGCAGGGCTCTTCTTATGTTCTTACAGCCTCCAGGGCTGGTGAACAGTGCAATCAATATTCCTGAAACAACTTCTTAGTTTGTGCAGGATGCCAGTGAGACCAGAAAGAAAATGTTTGTTCTAAACTAAGCAAGCGTTTATTTCATAGCCTGGACATAGCAAGGATCTGTGGTTAGTTCAAAAGGGAACACTGAAGTTTTTGACCTCTTTCTCACACTTGTGAGAGAGGATATGGGTAGCATGTGAGCCTCTGGCTCATTGTTGTAACGCAATATTTCAGTTTGTCATTACATCTGGACTGGGCCATTTTGCGAACCAGAATTCTCAGCCCCACAACAGGGGCTTGTGGAATGACTTTTTAATTCTCACTGGGCTGTAGTCATGCCAGAAACAGTAGAAGTACTCAGAAACGTGTGCTTCTTCAGGCATGGAAGATGCTTGGTGTGAAAAAAAGTACTGGCTACCCAGTAAGAGAGGGGACAACCTGGTGATCCAACAGGTATGGCCAACTGTCAGGGATTATGGCAGTGGTTATGGAAAAGTTGGCAAAAGAAGAAGGGGACGGCAGAGGATGAGGTGGCTAGATGGAGTCACTGAAGCAGTTGGTGTGAGCTTAGGTGGAGTCCGGGGGATGGTGGAGGACAGGAAAGCCTGGAGGAATGTTGTCCATGGGGTCTCGGTTGGTCGGATGTGACTTCGCAACTAACAACAACAACAATGGAAAAGATCTGGAGAGTATCTGGCAGTCTGGCCCTGAGTTAGACATTCACACCATTCAGGCTGGCCACTGCCATGCAAAGACATGTAGCAGACCTCCTCCAAAGCACTTATTTAATTAATTAATAATGTTGCACTTGTGCTGTAAAAGAATGCAAATGTAGATGTAATACGATACTAGATGACAACAGCAACAACAGCCCATAATGATCCACACAAAGGCAATTTCTGGAATGGTAAATATTAAGGCAATCATTTCTCCAATTGCACTGTGATCTTCTCGGCCTCTGGCAGCAATTCAGCTGCCACCGAAGAAACTCCAAGCATAATGTCTGTCTGTAGTGAACTTGCAGAAAAATCTTCTTACTGGTTGGGGAGCTAGAATTCTTACTTCACTGAGGACAGCTCATTGTTCTGGAAAGCTGCCAAACAAAGGCCTCTGTTTAAAGTGCCCTCTATTAGTTGGCTGTCCAATCTGGTTAAAAGTAAAGGAACAGTTGGTGGGGAGAGAAGGCCATGTAGTGCGCATCAGCATTTCGCACCTGACAGGCAGACTGGTCCCCTGGTCAGTCTTCTCCATTATGGTGTGACATATTTCTATTTACTTTATAGCTGTTAGTGTCAAATTTACACCTGTGCAAATTGGCAGCCTTGTATGTCCTCTGCTTTCCCGCTGTCGTTTCCCTTTTTTGCAGTGTGCAAGTGGCCACTTTATTTTCCAGGCAAGAAGGTCAGAAGAAGATGTGTGGGTTTTTTGTGGGAGAGGAGAGGGGTGGAATCACATTTTCTGACCCTATTTTTAAGTTGGCCTGTTTGGTATGGCCTGTTCTTTGGACTCCTAGAGGAAGAATTTGTTGTGCTTCAAATGTATACAGTAGTTGTTAAGAATAAATAAATGATGAGGAAGTGTAGATTATACTGAGGAGTATAAACATGGCAGTTAATGGATGAAGTGTTGTTTAGACTGGATGCTGTATTTAAACAGCATAATAAACACAGAAGGCTTTCTTTCTTTCATGGGAAGAGGAAGATTAATGGACTAACAGAGAGCATTGTCTGCCCCTTGGGAAGAAACTGTAAAGTCCAATGAATAATAACATATCTACATACTGTAGTATTTAGAAGGCTTTTTAAAGAATTGGGAATGTAGGTGTAGGCATTTATTTAAAATGCAATCAGCTGAAACTGGTGTGCATTTCACAACTGCCCCCCCCCCCCGTGAAATGCACCCCTTTTGAGAATCTTTTAGTAAGGTCTGCAAATCCACTCAGGAAACAATACCCTCATTCTTATTTGGCTTTATGACATCATCAGATAGCAGAATCTGGATGCCTGGCATCATCAGGAAGCCTTTTCAGAGTGAAGGCAATACTTTTGACCCTGTACTGATTTGGTTTCATGCATTATCACATAGCTGAAAATGATGTACTACATGATGATACAATAGCATCCTTGGCTGTTTGGAATTACTTCAAGAAGCAGCACATGGGGGGGGGTGTTTTCTTGAAAAGAGGCATTAAGGAGAGAAAGCAACAGCAAGAAAATGGTGTATAGTACACTAAAAGGGTAAGCAAGCAGACTTATAACATTCTCACACATGCAACCTGGAGATTTTCATAGGCAACCTTAAAATGGCCATTGTATCCCAAGTGAACTGCTTCCTTTTCTATCTGCAAGCAGTTTCCATGATCTCTTTGACCTTAACACAAAAATTGGAACAGTGAGCAGTGGGAAATCATGGCGGAGTTGGGATTTGAGAGATATCAAAATAAAATGGGTCAGAAGAAGGACATTAAATTTACAGCCGGTCAAGCACCGAGAAAATTGATATAAAATGCTTTTTTGGTGCTACGTTGCTCCAAAAGCTATAGAAAATATGGACAAGAATTATAATGGAAAAAGTTGGAAATCCAAAGTGGTGAGTGGGACTTACTACCATGTGTGGTGGACTTGTAAAATTAAAAGATTCTGGAAGCTGATAAATATGGAAATACAAAAATACTTTAAAAATTAACTTTCCTATGAATGCTAAGAATATGTTTTTAAATATTATGCCAGAGACTTTTTCAACAAATATGTCAGTTATTGAAATATATGACAACTGCAGCAAGAATTACCATTTCTTCTAAATGGAAAGCAGCAGAATGTCCAACAGTTGAAGACTGGAAAAATAAGTTGACTGAGTAGGCAGTGATGGCAAAATTAACTAATTATGTAAGCAGACAACTGAGCAAATAATTTAATGATACATAGACATTTTATTAAATGTGGTCTAATTAATACAGAACAAAATGGAGCTCGTAAAAACATTGATGCTTTATACTTCAATGCAAATCTTTTGCAATCATTTATAACTGACCTAAAGCTATTGGAAAATTTATTGGGTTAGAGAACTATCATTATCTTTTTTGCAAGCATCAACAAAGTATTAGAAACATTGAAAACAGAGTGAGTCAGAAAGGGTCTCCCGAGCCATTTAGTCGGACCCCTGGCTCCAGCTGGCTCCGCTCATGACATGTCAACCATGTGTATAGATTGACAGAAAGATAGAAAATTTTTGGTTTTTTTCAGGAATTTGCTAGGTTATGAAATTATATTTGTGTAAGATCCCTTGGTGTTCTTATTTTTTCTTTTCTATATTCTATTTCTTTTAAGAAAACAATAAAATATTAAACAAAATGGGTACAGATGGTCTCATAATAAGAGCCAGGGTGATATGGAGGTAAGAGATTTGCACTGGGAACCTGGCAGTTCTGGGTTCTAGCCCCCTCTTGGTCAGATTGCTCGCTCATGGGGTGGCTTTGGGCCAGTCACAAACTCTTTGCTCAGCCTACCTCACAGGGCTGTTGGGAGGATACAGTGGAGCTATGTAAGTCACAAGAGGGAAAAGGGCACAGTATAATTGCAGAGCAGTTTCAGTTGTAATAATCTGCTCTTCTCTGCTCTCTGCTAGCAGTATGGAGCTCCTTGAGACCTGTGGTGTGTCGGCGCTTCCACTTTTGGTCATGTCGCCACTTGCCGCCTCTGTCCTGTCGGCGCCTGCCTGCTGTTTCCCCTCTCCTGCCCTAGCCTCAAGAGATGATACATTGTGTAGTTTGTTTGAAGGGAGATGAGATACATCAATTCTGCTCTTGAACATGAAGGTCTGGCACTTGCCCAGATCACGATCTTGCGGCACACAGAACGCTTTCTGTTACCTGGAAGGAGTTTATACATGTATGGGAAGGGATGCTCGAGGGTGCAGAGCTGTGGCAAGGATGGATGCGAACGTTCTGTCAGAAGGCCACTGGGAATGTGCCTATAGGAGGAAGTGATGGGGCAGGGGCTCTCTCGTTCATGCATCTCCAAAGACTCGCTCCATCCTGTCTCAGTCTGCTCAAGCAAAGCAGTGCCGCTCTTTCGTGCCCGATTTATCGGTGGGGATCCAAGTGTGAGGAGCATTTCTAGGTTATCGCTGGCCCTTTAAATCCTGTCCTCCCACAGTCTTCAGTGTTCTTGTCCAAGGCTATGAAGATTTTAATGCAGGTTCAAATTAAGGCACTGCTTCTGCCATTAGGTATCCAGATTTCTAATTACCTGCAGCTGTGGATTGAATAAGCAATCTGATGCCCTCCAGTTGGGCTACAACTTCCATCATCCCTAGCCAGAATGGCCACATGAATAAAATACGCTGGGGACGATGGGGCTCCTACTTATCTGCAGGACACCGGATTAGATAAGAGGGATTTAGAGCCATTAGCTTTCTGTTGCACAAGCAAGGAGGGCTTGGAGGCAGGTGAAGATTGGGTATTTCATTTAGAAACCACAATTGGCCTACATAATTTTGTAACTTCCCACTTGGGAGGCCTGGCAGCAGTTGGCACACAAAGTACTGTTGGCTAACCTGCCACCAACACATTGTAAGGAGAATAGAAAGTTTCAGAATTGTAAAACCACCAAATCCACAATTACATCTAATAAACTGATAGCAACTACTGCAGTTATAGAAATGAGGCTTAGGTTTCACACAGTTAAGTAACTTTGCAAAAGTTTCACACACCCTTCATTGGGTGGGTTCACATGACAGGGCAACCCTGCGCTGCAGATAAAATCCCCTTATGCCTGACAGAAGATCAGGCACAGCGGGAGTGGTGTCCCTCCCCGGCCCCTTCCATTTTCACCCCTTAGTCCCCCTGCAGTATCCTGGAGATGCGCCAGGAACACTGAAGGGAGCGAGAGGACAGCAGCTGAAAGCTGGCGCTTCCCCACCCAGCCCTCCTCCTCCTCCTCCTCCTCCTCCTCCTCCTCCTCCTGCTGCTGCTGCTGCTGCTGCTGCTGCTGCTGCTGCTGCTGCTGCTGCTGGGAGAGCAGGATTGCCACAAGCTGGCTTGCTCTCCCGGCCTCAGAAGCAGCCCTGCAAGGAGGACCTGGCGTAGGGGTGAGAAGGGAAGGGCTGCCTTGTGCTGAAGCCCAGCGTGAGACAACCTGCCGACTGACCCCTGTCTTCTCCTGCTGCTCAGCTGTGGCACCAGAGCCGGACAGAAGGGAAGATGTGGGGGGGGGGGTGCCTTCGCCTCTTCCCAGGTCCCTGCTGGGGTTTGGGGAGGTGGTGCAGGGCCAGCGCTGGTTTTGCCAACCTTGTGCGCCTGCTCCTTGGAAAGGAGGAGCAAACAGGGCAGGCGGCAGGAAGGGACACATCCCACACTGTTCCCTCCTCTCTGCAGGATGCCTCTGATCCACTGTTGCCACTGGGGGGAAGCGGGAGAGGCACTGGGGGTGTCCAGCCACTCTGCCTGACTTCAGGATCTTAAGGAAGGCAAGCAGCACATCTCCTTCCCACAGTGGTGACCGTGGTGGGCAGGATCCAGCCCTGTGCCCTCCCCAAGCCACATCTGGACCAGGCCTTGGGAACGCAGGGTCAGGTGGGCAGCTGAGCCACCTGCCTTGCACTCCCCCTCCAGGAGAAGGGAAGCGATGCTTGGGGAAAACTGATGGCAGCTGTGGTTTGCCACAGGCCAGAGTGTCGATGTTTCTTTTCTGCTGTGGCCAAGGGACTCTTAATTTTCAGCTTGACTATGGTTTAGTGTGCCATTTGGGTTCAGATAACATGTAAACCCACACTGGGTTACTTAAACCCCAGAACAACCATGGGTGACCAGAGTGGCTTATAAACCCCAGGAGCAATACCGGGTTCAGATTACCCATTAATCCGCTGTGATTTATAAGCCACAGTGGGGTCTTGTGTCATTTGAACCCAGTCACAGAGACAATTGCTACATGCGAATAGAAACATGGCCCTTTTCCTGCAAGTAAGTAGGGAAGTTGCAGGGAGACAACTTCTGCATGCGTGATGCCCATGCTGCATAAAAACCTGGGGGCTCTTTCTCCAGAGCAGCTTTTCAGGGCAGTTGTGCCCAGAAAACTTTGGGTATGAAATCAGATCATGCCCTACTCCATGATTTTCCTCTGTGATTCCTATTAGCTCAGCACAGTTTGCAGGCTAGAGCAGGAATATTCCTGCTGTCAGATTCCAAAGGACAGCTCGTCCTTTGATGATCTCCCAGCTCTCTTGCCTGCCAGGTTATTAACTCAGGGGGAAGGTGCCCCATGGGAAAGCTTCAGCTAGCAGATGCCGCTGTGATAGGTGCCTGAAGCAACGTGAGCCACCCAACCCTTTGCTCCGCGGCACTGATGCTGCTTAAAAAGTGCTCCTGCATGTCTTCCTAGCCGGCCAGTTACCTGTTCCTTGGCTGTTGAAAAGCCCTCCCACCAAAAAGTAGAACTGTAGACTTGGAAGAGGTCAGAGGAACATCAAGCCTGGTTCCCTGCAACTAGGCACAATGCTCATGACATTCCTCTTGTTGCCTGCCTTGAATTTGTCCTCCTGCCTTAAAAGGTTTCATGCCGGATGCTACAGTTCTGATCAGTGCAGGTGTGTTACCTGTGGACCAACCAGATATCACCGAACTGTTTGTTTCAATGAGATGTTGTATGAATGAACTGTTAAGCATGCTGGAAATGAATCTTGACATAAAATCAAGTGGAGTATATAATCAGTAATTAGGGTGCAGGCCTTGGGGCTGTATTTATTCATGACTGGGAGTGGTGCTCTCTGCTTTTGGGAAGCTAAAGAACTGATGTTTGCATTTTTTATTTTGTAGGGTGTAATTGCAGAATTGAAAGTGAAAGGAGACCCTCAGGCAGCTGAAGTCCAGTGCGAAGAAGAAGAGGATGATTCTGATATAGTAAGTGGCTCTACCATTTTGAACAAAGGACCGCAGTGAAGCTGCCTTACGCAGACCTGGGGCTGCTGTGGTTTAGCATTATGAGATCAAGTCTAACCCCTCCCTTGGGTGCACTCACTCATTCACTCTCCCTGGTGTGGCCACAAGTTTTCATTTCCATTTTCAATTAACTGCAGCTTGCTGTGTTTTCCTAACCCAAATGAACTGTGGTTAATCTTACTTATGTATACTAGAAACAGTTCAAATTCAGCCCATGGTTTATGAGGCTGGGTTGTTTTCATTAGTTACAGTTAAGATTACTCACAGTTTATCTGGGTCTGGAAGATAAGTTGAATGGCGGTTGATATCAAATGGAAGCAGAGGCCTCTGAGCTCTTCCTTGTTACTGTAGTAGAGGAGTTGGGAGGGGCAGGATACAATGAGAGACTTGGCTCCTACTTGTAATGCTCACCTCGTGAATGCACCAGCGGAGGATCAGGGCGGGAGGAGCTCCTTCTCTTTCTCCCCCTTTCCCTTCCTCCTTTTGAATATTTTCCTTTCACAGGAATCAATGGGAAAGAGATTATTTATGCCACCTCTGCAACTGGCATATATTTCCCTACCACTGGGCAAATCAGCATGTTTTTGATCTGCCTCTATCTTTACTTGTCTCCAGGAGGCCAGGAAAGTCTGATGTGAACAGGTTTCTGTGGGAGGGGCAGTTCATTAGAACAGAATAGCGAGAACTTCTGTCTTTTACCTTCACTGAGAGGTCTCTGTCTGGGGATCGGTAGCACAGGCCCACCTAAAAGGATGCAAGAACTCATGTGAAAGCAGGAGCTCCTGCACGAGCGGTCGCTTCCCGCTACAGTCTGTGCCTCGTGTGGATTTATTTTCTGCTGACATCCAAAATATACATATTAATATGAAGTCGGCATGTTAGCCTATTTCTAGACCAAATTTCTCCTGGTATGGGCCTATCCCAGCTTTTGTGTTGCTGAGTGTTTTTCGAGGAAACTGATTTTTGGAACAGATACCTTAACTAAGTGAGTGCAGTCACTTTGTGTATGTATCATCTGCTGACCTGGACCATTTCTTGCCTTCTGCCTTTCTCTCCCTTTCTTTCTTAAAAATAAAAACCTCTAGATATCTGGGGATGGAGGAAGTGGAGCTGAAGAAAAGCCCCGGCTACCAGAAAGGGAAAGGGTGAGTCCAAAGCCATTTTCCGGTATAGAAATGCACCTTTGGAAATGCTTCTTGTGAATGCCCTTCATGGTTATGTTTGATCAATGTGGTGAGGTCATGCTTCTCTCTCTCATTCTTCTTTCCTCTGATCTTGCAGTATCTCCGAGTCCCACACTGAGGAAGGCTGTTCTTTTACAAAGTGATAGCATCTGCTTATGACAGCCACACACATGGAGCTGCTACAGGCAGAAAAGACTATCATAAATGATCGCTTGATTATGTGCATCACTCCTACATTATTTCCAACAGGGAAATACTGCTATCATCATTATTTAGAATGATACAAGTGTTCTGTTTAGTGCAGACCAGCCTTCCCAAATCTGGTGCCCGCCAGAGGTGTTGGACTGCGACTCCAATAATTCCCAGCCAGCATGGTCAACACTGGCTTGGAATTCTGGAAGTTGTGGTCCAACGCATCTGAAAACTACCAGATTAGAGGGCTGGTGTAGCAGATGGACACTGGTTTAGTTATTTCTTTTCAGTAGCTGCTGAGAAACACGTTCTTCCCTACCGTGACTGGCAATTCCATTGCATGTCTAAAAACATACCATTTCGTTTCTATCTTTGACTGTATTTAAATGGTAGTTGCTTCTGTGCATGAAAACCATCATTTCAAGTGTTCTGCATTCCATTTATCCAAAGAAAGGTTTTCCCATGTGCCGAACAGTCCAGAGATGGTTTGCTAATTAATGTATTTCCACCAGATGCGCAGTACATCCTGGAAGTGTGCCCCATTGTGTTAATCCAAACAATGTGTCCAGGCTTAGATATTTGCAGCATTGAGGATGTGAGGTTGTTTCAGGGCAATAATGCTTTGAGGCAGCTGGTCAAGCTGAATTCCTCATCTGCTAGTCATGGAAGCTTGCTGGTGTTGCGCTTTTGGCAACCAACAATCTCTGGCTGGGCATCTTTGATGTACTACTGACTGCTTCTAGTGGGGCATCACATATTTGCAGAGTCCATTATTTTTTCTTCAAATTTCTCCTGTGCCTTATTAGCTGGATCTGATCATTGCTACTGACCTTAGTTAATATCAGTCCTTTTTGTTCTGTTTTTTTCCTCCTTTTCCCCCCCTTTCTTTCAAGCAGTGGGCTAGGAATAGTGTTAAGTGAACTGCTTGGGGGTGTGGTTGTACCTGCTGTGCTAATAAAGTGCTTTGAATAACAAGAGAGAGACAAACAGAGAATGAGAGAGAATATGGAAACCTGGACAATTTTGCGGCACTCCATCGGCCTCAGACCTCAAAATTCTTCTCCCTGCATTAATGCATGTATGTGTTTTCACTCTCCAAAAAAGCATCTTCACACCAGCTTCAAAGGCAGAATGAACAGAAATCTTAAACCTGGAAGCATGTTCTTCCTGAACATCATGGTCATTATCTACAATAGAAAATAATCCTTAAAAAAACACTACCTTGCCTAACTACATACTTTCTTCTTTTCTAAAAAGGAAGATACATTTCATCCTTTGCTGTAAAGAATATTACCAGCAAGTCTTACCAGTGTAATGAGGCTGCATAAACCTTTCTCCTTAACTTCCCTTGCAATGCAACTTTTGTGTCACTACCCAGTCAAGTGATTTTTACTCTTGATGTGGTTTTTAAGCTTTTTTGCATGTGGCTGTTATTGGCAAAGTTTACAATCAGCATCTAATTCCTGCTGTTCAGGTTTCCACTTAAAAAGGGTAGATTTAAAGTGATGAAATCCTCTTTTTCCCGGATTTGTGTTGCTGCATTCACATATCAATTTTGTTTTATTATGATTTTTGTTCATGCTTGACATCCACACCAGAGGCAGAGTTTAATGAAACACCATGCATATCTTTGTTTTGGGAGCGTGTGTTTTTTGTACATCAAACAACTGGGGATGTTTTACTGCTCTGTGTGAGATCCCTCGTGTGTGTCTCACAGATTTTAGGTCTCCATAGTGGCATAATGTTTCTTGCCATACATTGAAAACATATGCTTTGGAGGTAGCATTCTCTTTCTCTGGCTGAGTGTCTCAGTTTGCCACTGTTCCAGTATAATCATGTGTAGAATGGCCATTAAACACAGTGGCAGTGTATTAATTTCAGTACTGGGATGTCTCTCATAGCAGTTGCTGGAGGTGAACAGCAGGACGGTGCTTTGGCACTTATGTTGTGCTTGTGGACTTCCCAGGGCCATCTGGTTAGGGACAAAATGCTACCTGAGGTAGACTTTTGGTGTGAAGTGCATGCATTCTTATGATCCAGGTATCTTATGAAAAATGTGTAATAGCATCACTACAATGCAAGTCCTTGCTCATGCAGCTCTTTACACAAAGATTGTCTGCAGACCAGCCAATGAATGGGATCTGGGGCCCAATTGTTTCCCAGATACTTACTTCTCCTTCAAAACTTTGATTTCTTTCATGCCTTTTCTCAAGGATTATTGCAAATCTCTACCTGACTTTGCAGCAAGAATCATCTCCTCAGCCAGAAGTGTTGCAAGATCAAGTTCCAAAACCAACATATTAACAAGATATGCTTGGAAACGGTCACTTTATTAGATGAAGGCAGAAATGGCCTTCCCAAGGACTATTTTTCCAAAGTATTCCTTTACACATCCTGAAATCAGTTTGGATTCTGCTCAGCATACAGAATCTTAGACTGATATTGCTGAAGTGTATAAAGCAAAAGAAGACTCATGAGGAATCTATGCACATGGTGGGCCTGTCATGAGCGGAGCCGGCTGGAGCTGGGGGTCAGACCAGGAGGCCCAGGAGGTCCCTTCTGACTCGCTCTGTTTCTGTGCTTCATGCGTCAGCCCGCTGGATTCTGCATCAGGCCTGCACTGATGCCTGCTGACTCAGGTGCAGCTTGAGCTGCCTCACAGACCTCTGTCTCTAAGCTGGACTGTGATTTGATCATTTTTTAAAAATTGCTAATGAAATGTCACAAATAAGGACCCCAAAACCACATGTTACTAGTATAATTTATTCAGTATTGGTGGATAGTGCAAATCACACTAAAGCCACATGGTCCGTCGGTCAATGATTGATTGATTGATTGATTGCGTTTATGTACCACCCCAGTAGCCCAGAGGGCTCTCTGGGTGGCTTGCAAACGTTAAAACCCCACCAATCCTAAACAAATAAATAAATTGGTTACACCACAACTGTTTTTTCCTGTTTATCTGTGCAAATTTCAGTAGCAGGTTGAAAAAATGCACAAATGGTGGCCTGTCTTAGAGATGGATGTGCACCTTACCCCTCACCTCAGCCCACTTTTGATCATTAAAGTGTGCAGGAAATTTGTCAGGCTCAAACAAGCCAGGTTTTCCTATTTTGGTAAATGACATATCACTCTCTGGCTTTTTCTTTTCCTTGATGAAAATGTCTTATTTCTCTTCTTACCTGAATTTTATTTTATTAATGCTGTTTTTACTTCAATTGTACATGGCCTGGAGCACTCATTGGGCAAAGTAGCAATCCATGCTATAAAAAATATTAAAGTTTATTTATTTTTTGCATTTCTATACTGTCCATCAGCTGGGCAGTTCACAGAACAACACTTAAATTCATAAAATACAACAACATAATAAAACATAGAATATAATGCATAAATTTAAAACAGAATAAAACTAGGTAGAAAGCAAGATAAAAGCCAGGGGCAGTACAAAAACCAGAAAACCCACTAGTCCTGTCTTTTATGCTGAAGAGCTCAAACAATGGGCAAAAGAAAAAAGCTCTTGACCCAGTGCCCAGAAGACCACCGTGCACGTATCTCTTGAGTCTTTCAGGGGAGTCATTTTATAACTGCCACCACTTAAAGTTCCTCTCCTTAGTAGCTACCCACCTGATCTCATTTGGCAAGTGCACCCAAAGAAGAGCATCTGAGGATGATCTGAGGGTCTAGGCAGGTATATATGGAAGAAAATCGTGAATTTTTCAAAATAAAGCCGTATACCTCTAGCTCAATTATACATTTGATAGCTTTAAAAATATTCCTTTAAAATATGTCAAAAGTTTCTCCTAGAAGCCTCAGCATTGACAGATTAAAGTAATCCAGGGAAGCAGAAAAGAGCACAAAACCAGAATTCCCAGAATCCCCATTAATTTAGTGATGAGCAGCCACTCTGAGCTTTGAATTTGCTGACCTCTTTGAGTCTGAGCCAAGAACCTGCAGGATCCCTGGTCCAAGGGTTGCTCGTCCTGCGTGTTGGACAGATGCATCCATGCTGGAAATTGGTTTGTGTGGAGGGAGCCACATAGCTGCAGTCATGACATCAAACCACGTGACAGCCTCTTTAAAAGGCAGCTGGAGAAGGGATTCTAACAACTTGCCATTCTAAAAGCATATTTTATTAATTTAAACCATGTCTATATTGTTTCTTATGAAAACAAATCTTAAAGTGTTTCACAGAAATAAGTTGTTTATTTTAAAAAACCCTATCCAGAAGTACAACCCCACCCCTGAACAATCAAACGTATGTGTGTGTACAAATCTCTCTCTCTCTC